CTAAATCTCATCACAAGATAAATCTTCAGTTTGAAGCGTCACGTAACCTCGTCAGAAGAGTCTCAAACATGCAAACTCATGCTCAGAGGCGACCCAACATGTGAGCGAACATTCAGCGACTCCACCTCTCTAATCGTTTTGAAATGAGAGGCGCCACTGCTGCCCTTGCATTATCAAAAGGGAACACGTGCACTCAGACCGGAGTCCAGAGCTTTTCGAGTGTCTTTTCAGAAGAGATTTATTCTAACGTGAGGAGATAATCGCATCCAGAGAGGACAGCGTTGGAGGAAAAGGCAAAAAAACAATCAGTCGCGGAGACAAGCAGCCAACTCACCGGACTCTGGAGAAGACTGGAGATGCGTTTCTTATGCTGCGGCCCGGAGCCCGGGGTGGAGGGCTGGGGCGACGGGAGCCCGTCGGGGACCCCATCACTGGGGCTGCGCTGCACCGGGGTGCCCTTTGGGGTGGGGGACTTGCTCATCTTCTGCTTTTCTTTGGGTGTCTCTCAATAGAACTGAAACTAAACCACACATGAAATAAAGTTTACAAATGACAGGTAGATAGATAGATAGATAGATAGATAGATAGATAGATAGATAGATAGGTAATTCGACGTAAATTCAAAGTTCCCAGTTAATCGGCCATATCCAAAGGCATTAATACTTTAAAGAGGCTGAAGTCTTTAGTTAAAAAGTACAAGTATTTGCAACATCAAACCCCCAATTGCACATACATATTCCATCTTCGATACTTAAAGAAGGACAAAAGCATTGCTGAAGAAGCTTTGAAATGCTGAAAAACCCTGTTTTTCATAGCACCCATCCCTCTGATGCAACATGTCACTTCAGATGTTCCACTCCGGGTTCAAACCTGCCCTAAAAAAAGCCTGACACACGACCGGGAAGCCCTCCAAAATACATAAATCACAAGAAAACTGCTAATCCTAAGAAATGTAAGCAAACGTCGAAATGAAAGAAGAATCCATCAGAGCCCCGTTCGATCAGAACAGGAAGCCGGCGTGACCACATATTAAATCAATAAAGCTCTTTCAATCCAAGTTCAGCACAGATCCACCATCTTTGCCTCTGTCGCCGGCATATAAATGAGTTTTTTTTTAATGTAAGAAGACTGCGAACAGGAGGCTGGATTGCAGCACAAGATGTAATTTGTGTCCACCGTTTAAAAGATGAAAACATACCCTCACAACGGGGACGCTGAGTTCTCTTCCCCGGAGGCGAGGCTGATGAGAGTGCAAAGCTTCAGAGACTGACGGGATGGGCATTAGGAAAAGGATAAAGGCAGTGGCATCAGGAAGTCAGCCGGCTGATACAGCGCGGTAAATGAAGGAAGAGTTAAGTGTTACCGTAAGGATCTCCAGTGAAACGCCGGCCCCTCCCCGGTGCACGCAAACACACACACACACACACACACACACACACACACACA